CACCCCCCGCGCTCTTCATAGCGGCGCACAAGCCGTCAGTGACGTCACGCGGGGACGCGCCCCATTCATAGGCCCCCACGCAGAGACCGAGGCCAAAAGCGTGGATATAAAAGTTGGGGAAGCTACCCCCGGACTCAACTTTCCCCTCTCTCTCCGACACAAACGACCTTGTGTTGCGCTGAGCATCCTCCGGCCCTTGTGACTCCTCTCGTCACGCTTTGACGTTACGGTTGTTGCGATTCATTTGCAGCTATTTTGAACTATCTGGTAAATGAATTTTTATTCTGGCGTGTTACGTTGTGGTGAAAAGAGAGGAATTTTTTCACCTGCGAAAGGTACACTAAGGGTTTTTGAATGAAATGACCCGGACACTTCTTTGAGATTCAATGTCAGAAAATTATTCTTGACATTTCAAGTGCAAAAGCTTGAATTTCTTAACAATGACAAATTACTTGGAATTTCTGTGTATTTCTTCATTGACGAATCAGTTGATTTGTTGAATATTCAAGTTATTCGCGATTTTCAGGTCCATACGGCACTGAAAAACATTGAAAATTTTGAAAATTCAAGCAACAACTTTTCTGAATTCTCAATCTACTGAGAATGGAATTGTATGTGATGTTCAATTTTCACGATGAGTTCGGAAATGCAAGCTTGAATTTTCGAGATGAATCAGAAATTTTGTGAACGTTTCATTTTTTCGATGACGCTTGGACTGAAATTTCAAGAAATTTCTAACAGTGTTTTTACCACATTATGGCTCCAGTAAAATTTGAGGGAAATGCGTCATTGAAGCTTAAAAATTGTGTGGAAAAATCACTCGAAACTGTAAATTTCGGGAAATACACTCGTTCGGTTCAAACGAATTTATTTGGCATGAATGGATTTTTATGGATTTTTATTTTGATGTATTGGTTGAACTCGAACTAATTCGAACTAAACGACCTTGTGTTGTGCTGAGTATCCTCCGGACCTTGAGACTCCTCTCGGCGACATGTTGCGTTATGTTGAAAAGAGAGGAAATTTTTTCACTTTCGAAAGGTACATTAATAATTTTTGAATAATAGTAACCCGACCGTGAAATTTGAGGGAATTGCGTCATGGAAGATTAAAAATTGTGTGTGGAAAACCACTGGAAACTGTAAATTTCCAGTGATATTGAACGAATTTATTTGGCATGAATGAATTTATGTGAACTTTTATTTTGATGTATTGGTCGAACTCAAACTAATTCGACTTTCGAGGTTGTCTATGGCGTCACTGCGGGAGCGCGTCGGTCTCGCTATTATAGAATGGAAGGAAATGGCTGGGAATTGATGGAAAATCAATGAATGTTGACGGAAGTCACGATGATTCATGTTTCACTTGGAATATTTCAGATTTTTCATAGTAAAAATAGACTTTCGAACTGCAAAATTTATTTTACGGACCGGTAGCCTCACGAGTATAGAGCCTCGCATAATTAGCAATTGGTAATTAACCACTTTCAGTGGAGACGGACCGGGCATGTGAAGATTATCCAGGAGATAACACCATTATTGACACAGAAATAAAATAAGAGACATTTTCCAAGAAATATGGAATGAAACTGGCAATTTGTCTTTCGGTTTTTCTCATTCATTACCTGAACATTGGAATCATCGATAATCGATGATTAAAAAACCCCCACAAAGATTCTTTAGCACATGAGACTCCAACGATAATTATCTACAAAATATAGAAAATCATAAACCATTGCCCTTTTTAATATTTTCCTCTTTTCAAATCTCCGGAAACTGCACTTCAAATGCTCAGAAAAACTAATCAAGTCGCTTCATCTATGTGGAGAATTTTTAATACTTTAAAGTTGATGAAAAAAAATAATACACTATTGGAAATTTTGTGAAAATTGAGCAATAGTTGCACTTGAATTCTCAATATGTGAATTTGAATTCAATTTAAGATTAAATCGTTCGTGAAATCTCTCATTCAGGTTAGAAATTCAGGATAATTGGGATTTCCAAGTTAAAGTGGCACTGATATTCTAATATTTCAATGACATCTAGAATTTCCAAATTCATTGCGGAAATTGAACATCACATTCAATTGAATTTTCAATAACAAATTCGTATAAATTTCGTATAAATGAGTGATTGTAAAAATTTCAAGATTTTTTACTTGAAATTTCAGGAGTAATTTTGATTCCAAAATTTTGAAAAAATGTGTACAATAACAATTACGAATTAATTTTTGAAATTCGACTCTTACACAGCTAATTCAATTTTGTTTATTATAAAAATTTGCCTCATTCATGTAAAATAGGCAGAAAAATTATTCTTAAAATATTTAAAATATATTCTCGATTCTTTCTGAAACATTTATCTGGCTATTTTACCCGAATGGTGCAATTTCTCGTTAAAAAGGAGTTGAATTTCAAAAAATTATTTCAAAATTGTTATTGTACACATTTTTTCAAAAATTTTGAAAAAAAAACCCTTTGTAACTCAAAAATTAGAGGCCCGGGACTATTTTCAACACTTTAAGCGTCTGCGAAGTAAACAAACAATAAACAATTTTGTTTTACCCCAATTATTAGTTTTCAAACATATACAATCGATTTTCAATGTATGAGAAATCTCATTCCAATAGCCCGCGACTTAAAACTCGCAGTAGTCTCCCCTTGAACATAACTATTAAAAAAGTATCTCAAAAGTATCTCAAAAGTGTCTCATAGTCTCCCCTTAATTAGCGTCAGTTTTCCACGACACCAGAAATTTCCAAGTTTCGTTGGAATTTGCGTGTAAATAAATTCGAAATATCGATAATCAATGTTTGAAGTTCCCGGGATGAGCTCCATGAAAATAGCAAATAGCCGGCGGCAGTAATGCATCCACCGCGGGCCGTTATTATTAACACCCCTCAAAATACGCTGATAATGTCAAGGCTGAAAGAAAAACTTGAAATATAAAATTCCCCTCCCCTCCCGCCCTCATATTTCTGGTTATCCCATGTCAAGGAGTGTCAGACCGCTATTGCCGCCCCGAGAAGAGAATGCTGGCTGTCTATCGAGCGTAGTAAAAGAAGATGATAGTCAGACGTGAGCTATCGCTGTCTGACCACTTCCCCGTGGCGCGTCTGTACCCACTGATTTCCCAAGCCTCAAGATATATTACTTTGCAATAATGCAAAATGCCCGGGGGATACAGCAAAGTGCGGACCAAGGATGTATTATTTTTCCACACGATAGAGAAAAAAAAGTTATTCCAGTTTTCAAACAGCGGTGAAGTTTGATAATTTATCTCAAACATCGATTGTCCGGTGAAATTTTTCTTCACCTCGACAGCCGGCCCTCGGCGATGGAATATATTTGATATTTGATATTCTTACCTTGTTCGATCTGAGGGTGACTTTGCCACCGCAACGGGCACAGCACCGTATGTTGCAGTAGTTGCAGATATGACCAACGCCGTCCGCAAACTTGGTTTTCATGCATATGTGGCATGTATCGTCCAACTCGATGCCCGCTTTCTTGTGCTTCTCGGAGCGCGCACGGATTGTATCCTCGAGTATCTGAACCTCATCCTGCTTTCGCCTGGGAATAAACAGAGATTACGTGGGTTATTAGGCGGGATTGACTCATTCTGTGTTGCTGACAAGGTTCATCACTTATCATTTTGTCAATATAAAGAAAAATAAAACAGGTCTTAACAATTTGAAAACCTGAATTTCCAAACTCCTGACGAAGATTGAATATTGAATTGTTACAAAAAAAATCAATTGGCTTTGAACTTGACCGAAGGAAATTTAACGTCTTGCACAAAAATAAAATTTTTCATCAGTTATCATCTCGTGAATATAAAAAAAATAATTGTCAACAATTTGACAACCGGAATTTTCAACTTTAATTGAAATTAATTAACAAATATTAGAAGTTATTTTGGGCCATACTTTGGTCAGCAGCAGTCAAAAAATCTCGACAAAATTACTCAACAAATTGCACGACGTTTCGAACGCTCAAAGTGCTCCTCCTCAGGTGGATGTTTTTATTCAATTAATAATTTTGAATAGAAATGAATTGAGAATCCATCATGTGCAATCCAATGCTAGTAAACACTGATCGACATAACATCATCTCATGTCAACAAATAAAAATTGTCACAACTGTTAGAATTTAATTACCACTGAAATTTCGAGGTATTTCGTCATTGAAAATTCAGAATTTCGTGGAAAAATCAACGAGAACTGTCAATTTCAGTTCCAATTTTCCCTGAAAATAAATAGAAAACTTGAAAATTCCGGTAAATATATCCTTGAATTTTCAGGACAGCGACACTAAACGCGATTTAAGGGAAAAAAATCATGAAATTTCAAATTTCACTGAGAGTTCAATGTAATTTGGCACTGAATATTCCTATTAAAATTGGAAATTAAAATAAATTAAGGAATTATCGTCTTTATGCTGCTTAAACTTCTGGAATTTTACTCAATTTTCAGTGAAACCTGAAATTTCATGATCATTTTCCCTAAATCGCATTCAGTGTCACTGAAAATTAGGAGTCAACTGTCCATGAAATTTAATTTTTTTTCTGACAGTGCACCCGTGCCTTCAAAGAGAACCCACGTAAAAAATTTCATAAACCATCAACGATAACCAGCATCACGAAAAATAGCACGGAAGCTCGTTGGATGGCAAATGCACATCAGACATGATAATGTGGGCGTCTCGTAAAGCAATCCTAAAAGCGTCCAGCCTCCCACTCCTCCTCGTCCATTAAGCTGGCACCTTTGCCATGGTGGAAAATTAAGCCCGAGTATATCCTGCGTCTTACGACCAAAAGGACTCCTCACACCCCCCCAAACTCATCATCCCCTCCCACCTCTCGCCATCCAACCCACCTCAATCTACTACTCAGTGTTTGAGTTTCAGTGGCACGCGACTACCTCGATATTAGACTCGGTCCCAGTGAAAAGGAAGAGGGTGATCATGCCAACTTTTCGACAAGTTGAGAGGAGCTTAATGGGGCAGACTTGCATGATTAGTCTATTCTTTGGTTTATGAAAATTGGCCCAGGAAATGTTGAAAAATGAGGAAAGAGGCGATTTTACGATCTAGGGGGAACCCTCCCCAGAAATTTTTATCAAGAAATTTTTATAGTGTACTAGAATTTCAGGAAATTGCGGTTTGGCGATTAAAGATTCGGTTCGATTTTTTTTCTTCAAAAAATCTTTGGAAATTATTAATTTTAGCGTAATTACGCCCTAAAAATTGAAAGAAATCAGGAAAATCAAGTCAATATATTGTGGAATTTTCCTTTAATTGAAAATCGAACGGGGAAAATTGAGTTGAAAATTGCACGTTTTTATTGAAAATTCAAATAAGTTGAAGAATTCTGGTCTTGTTACTCGAAAATTTGGACTTCATTGAATTTCCAGTGCAATTTAATGCAGTCATCGAATTCTTTTGCATTAAATTGGATTCAATATCGGTCTCCTGAAAATTTTTACTGAATTCCCCATGAAATTTCATTTTTTTTCAAGTGTGAGGAGAATTTTCATGTTGAACAACAGATTTTGGCGCATCAGGATCTGATTTTTTTTTAACAATATTTTCCATCTTACAGTACTTCATTTTTACATAAACGTCAGGGTAAAATTTGATAACCATTCACGCACCCAGAGAAATATAGTTTTTTATAATTTAATAAATTAATCAAATAAACTTCACTTGAATAAAGACTTTATTCAAAATTTCATTTTTATTTCAGTCTTTATTCACCTCAAATGAATCGTTTTTTAAATACAAACGAATTTAATTGATCCCAATAAAAATTTCATTAGTTGGAAATTAAATCATTGTGATGACGATGAAGAGAACGAATTCATTAATCCCCAACAAAAATATCGTTAAAATGAACCGAAAAGTTTCAAATAAACAGTTTCATTCGAATCAAATGCCCAATTTTTCTCCCAAATTTTAGAGAAAATCAACTTGTAAAAATTACAAATATTGCAGACGGAATCATCTTCCGCTCTTTCAAAAAAATTGCTAAACGCGATTAAAAAACTCCAAGACCTAAATCAATAATTTTTCCTCCACCCGCGTCACTCCTCGCGAAATATCTCCTGATTATCGGAAAAGTTCTGTAATATTTACCCATAATCTTCCGTCCGCGTGCAATTTTTTTCTCTTCAGAAGAGTATCTCGAGGACGAGAGATATCAAAGAGCGAGAGATTACGTCGTAAAGACGAGTTATCACATTGATGTTGGTATCTTGTACCTCTCCTCGGCTTTCATCTCCCTCCACCTCCCCGCCCCCCTCTCATGGTTGGCGATAGAAGAAGCAAACCAACCTAGGAAGTGAATAGAGGATTCACCCGTATCGGCTCCTCCCGAGAAAATAGAGAACGAAAATAGGTTTAAAGGGAGTGCAGCAGCCCCCGCCCGTCTGGGGGTTAGGCCCGTGGGTGGATGGGAGAGCCAAATAGAAATGTTGGAGATGGGGTAGCATTTACACGAACGATAGAAATGCGGAGGTGGAGATCTTCGAGGGGAAGATAGAAATGGGCACAATGCTGTGGGATGCGATTTGATCGTCCACTGTCCCAAACCACTGAAAATTGTGCAACCTCAAATGCTTATCTCGACCTAGAGAGAAAATAAGAATGAAACGAAGAGTCCACGGGAAAAAAAACATCAAATTGGCTCGATATAGATTACTTTTTGGCTGAAATTTTCAGGAGACTTCATGGAGAGAAATTTTCGAGAAAAATTCTAGTGCGAGTACTGGAAAAAATCACAGTCCACCGGCTGTGAAAAATTCTAGGGCTGTTAAGGTAAAATTTCTTGGTATTTCTGGTTCCCCGTATTTCTGTGAAATTTTCACAGAAATACTGGGAAAAATTCACGTTTTCCCCAATGAAATTTCTAGTCCCGGCACTGGAATTTTTTCCTGGCCGTCACTTTGCGTCCATGCATTACTCATGTTTTCCATGGGGGAATGAGATTTCTGGTAGAATAAAATTTCCTTGCTTTTAAAGAACTCTAGGTTGAGTAGAAATGGAATGCTGAAGAGGCGGGAGGAAAGGGTGAACTTAGGTGAGAGAGGGGGAGAGGGAGAGATTGAGAGGAACTGATGTCTTTGCCATCGATGAAACTCAATTTGTCCTGGGGGGTAGGCGAACGGAAATAGAATTATATCGCTGTCGTGCATCGCTACTCCAAATATGCACACATCAGAACTCAGTCTGATGCATGTCACGAATTTTGTGATAATAATGAACATCGAGGTAAAAATTACGGCATCTTAGCCGTGGGTTTCTTATTACTCAATACGATGGAATTTGTTAAATATTTTCCATTGCTTCACTTCAAGAATTTCGAGACTTCATGTCAAGGAACGATGAAAATTGACGATTAAAATGAGCAATTGTGGAAAATACTGAATGAATCATTTTAAAAATGAATAATTTGCGTAGAGTAATTATAAAGCCAGTCGAGATGCGCAATAACGTTGATATATTCACGAAGAAATGGTAAGAATTAGAGAATTACGAGTATAGTCATTTCGATATCCTCATTATAAGAATAAAATGGTCTGAAATATTCATCAACAGCCAAAAAACATTGTCTCCCAGAATAAATTCAACGAGTTGAATTGAGTGCAGGGTTTAAATAAATAAAAGAATTTTTTCATATTTCTAATTCCCCACTTCACGAATTTCGCGAATAACAATTAATTTCAACAATTAATTCAGTTACAAACAATTAAATTTTTACATAAAATTCACGGAGAGATTAGAATGCATTATTAAATGAAGAAGTTGTAAAAAATATCGAATTAACGAATGTAATTCTTCAAAAACCTTCATTATAACAATGANGCTGTTAAGGTAAAATTTCTTGGTATTTCTGGTTCCCCGTATTTCTGTGAAATTTTCACAGAAATACTGGGAAAAATTCACGTTTTCCCCAATGAAATTTCTAGTCCCGGCACTGGAATTTTTTCCTGGCCGTCACTTTGCGTCCATGCATTACTCATGTTTTCCATGGGGGAATGAGATTTCTGGTAGAATAAAATTTCCTTGCTTTTAAAGAACTCTAGGTTGAGTAGAAATGGAATGCTGAAGAGGCGGGAGGAAAGGGTGAACTTAGGTGAGAGAGGGGGAGAGGGAGAGATTGAGAGGAACTGATGTCTTTGCCATCGATGAAACTCAATTTGTCCTGGGGGGTAGGCGAACGGAAATAGAATTATATCGCTGTCGTGCATCGCTACTCCAAATATGCACACATCAGAACTCAGTCTGATGCATGTCACGAATTTTGTGATAATAATGAACATCGAGGTAAAAATTACGGCATCTTAGCCGTGGGTTTCTTATTACTCAATACGATGGAATTTGTTAAATATTTTCCATTGCTTCACTTCAAGAATTTCGAGACTTCATGTCAAGGAACGATGAAAATTGACGATTAAAATGAGCAATTGTGGAAAATACTGAATGAATCATTTTAAAAATGAATAATTTGCGTAGAGTAATTATAAAGCCAGTCGAGATGCGCAATAACGTTGATATATTCACGAAGAAATGGTAAGAATTAGAGAATTACGAGTATAGTCATTTCGATATCCTCATTATAAGAATAAAATGGTCTGAAATATTCATCAACAGCCAAAAAACATTGTCTCCCAGAATAAATTCAACGAGTTGAATTGAGTGCAGGGTTTAAATAAATAAAAGAATTTTTTCATATTTCTAATTCCCCACTTCACGAATTTCGCGAATAACAATTAATTTCAACAATTAATTCAGTTACAAACAATTAAATTTTTACATAAAATTCACGGAGAGATTAGAATGCATTATTAAATGAAGAAGTTGTAAAAAATATCGAATTAACGAATGTAATTCTTCAAAAACCTTCATTATAACAATGATCAAAATCAAAATAACTGCGTTTTGAAGATAAATGCATTAAAAACCACATTAACATCACCCAACTGAATTCACTAATTAAATAATAAATTATACACTCATCTCCCCCCCAACTCGCTGAAAATTCGTGAAAACATCTGAAGAACAAAATGAAGACAAATTGTTTGAAATTTCAATGAGTTGAATTGAGAGCCGAGTTTTGAAGTTCGTAAACATTTGAGGAATGAAATCCGGGTGCGGGGGTGCACGAAGGAAATAGCTAGAGGATGGTGTCTTCGATGCAGTGAACACACAATGAGACACTCTTGCGAATCGAGGACGAGCGGGTATTAAAGCCCAAAGAGGAAAAGCGGTTGTGGAAATAAGTGGAGGAGAGGGGAGAAAAAAAGAGTATACCGTAGCCCATTGGTCCCCCTCCCCGTAATTTTCTCTACAACAAGCTCATAGACGAAATAGGTATACCAAGTTTGTGACCCTCGGGCCAGACGAGACAGAAAGATCCCCTTCATAGTGCATCATACAGGGGCTTCAACGAAAAGAGAAGGTATACACTGTGAGGTAAAAGAAACGTCAACTGAGGATTATATTTCAGCGACGTTTTGTGTCCCCGGGCGAAAAGAATGCGCGCCCTCGACCTATCCAAGCCTTTAAAATTTTTTCCTAATCATTCCTCCTCATTTTTCCCTCCCCATTTATTACTGAAATGGGAATGGGGATGGGGGTGGGGATGATGAAGAAAATGAGAATCACGAAAATAGTGAGTTGGAGGGAGAAATAAAAAGGGAAATACAAATATGAAGTAATCGACAGAGTTGTGCAGAGCTGTTGCAGGATGATGCCGCAAAAATGCCGGGAGAGTAAACGAAATACGAGAACTAATGGATTACATTCTGGCTTCACTTTTCACGTTGCAATTGGCAGTAGAAGATGACAATGTTGTAATAGTAACGACATGGGATTGTGAGGCGGGTGTAAGTGCCCGTGGATGATGAGAAAACAATCTGTGCAGACGGAAAAATTCTAATTTTCAGGAAATGTCTGGGGGACTCAAACGAAGAATGTTTAAGAGTTTAAGTTAAGTTTTCGAACATTTTGCAATGATTTTATTGTTTAAACTTAGTAGGTTTGAATTTAAATGTCAATATTGAACCGTTAGAAAACATTTAAAAAATCTGAAAAAGATTGATGAAATAATTTGAAAATTGCGAGTTGAATTTTTTACAATTACGAGCATTTTCTATAAATAATCCATAAACAATTAATTTTCCTCCGTAAAAATCATTTGTTCGGAGTCGTAATAAATTTGTTTACATTCAGAATTTTACCAGAAATCGATTTCATGCCTAACAAAATAATGTTTCCTAAAGTTTAAACAATTTTAATTACTTATTTATAAACAATGAATGTTTAAATAATAATAATTCTGTACAAAATGTAGTTTTAATGACGCTGAATGTCCATGATTGTTCCACGGAATTTAATTGACAAATTTAATGACTGAAAATTGTTGAATCTATAGTGTAGTCTCTACCAAACTGTAAGATACTTGAATACCCTTAAATGAAAATGAATCAAAACTACATGTACCTAAATGTACCATGTGCCTGAATGTCCCTGATTTCTACAAATTTTCAGGGAATAATAGACGTGAAATTCCCAGTTCTAATTGATTTTTCGATGAAACTCTGACTTTCCACTCACGAAATTCCTCAAAATTTCCGAGGAACGAAAAGAGATAAAAATCTTCAAAAAGTGCATCATAAAATTAATCCACAAATTGTGACTTTTCCGAAATCATTAATGTTTCCAAAAACCAGAAACATCACATTTCACAAAGCCTCACCTCATGATCTCATTCTCATGCTCTTCCTCCTGCTTCTGCCGCATCATAACCCCCTCGATGATCCTCCTCTCCTCCGGTGTAAGATGGGACATATCAGGTAGGTCCGCCATCACGGTAAAACAATCGTACGTGTAATCACAGTTAACAAAGTGCACCACCGTCTCCGTCTACGACGCGTCAGCGACGACAATCTAAGTCCCCCAACTGGTATATCAACTAGATAAAAGTCTAATACTACAATGCCATCTGTACCTGACGAAGTCATCCGCCACCAAGTGACCAACACCGATTACAAACGAACTGAATATCCTTGAGAGCCCACGTTACACACTCACACCTTCCCCAGCATCTCTCAACACCGCAACAGCATTGAAATAAATCATTAATCCTCCAGCCATCGACTGAGTTTCTATCATTCGCGTAAATCACCGGATACTCGAACCCCCTTATTCCCCCAGCGATGCTGATCAGGCACGAGGTGAATGTAATACCCTCAGCGTCTTCATTTTCACCATTATCGTCGACATTGCAGCTCAGTGATAATAGTCTGTCGTCGACAGTGTCGTTGTTATTAAGGATGGAGTTGTCACTCGTTATAATTTTATCAGTCGCCTCATCCGCCCAACGAATCATGATCGCGAATGGTCGATTGAAGGGGGCTGTATCATTATCATCGCCTCCTCAATCCCCGAGACTGCTATCACCCGAATAATAGATTGTTCCAAGCCCTCGTCCAAAATACACCTCCACCTGATGCAGTGATTTGTTTGACTTTTTCTCGTTCTCTCAATTCAGAGGTGCACCAAATCGATTGAAAATGAAAACAGGTCACTGGCACATCCCTGTAACACCTGTTCCAACGCCATTGCAAGCACATCCATGGGTATCCGTGGCCTCTATCCTCTCTGACTGAGGCAGCTTGAGCCCCCGGAGTGGATCACAATCAGTGACTCAATGCAAATTTGGTAAATGGCATTCCAACAATTTCCCTTTCTCACCGTTGATTCACGTGGCTTACGCCGTGAAATTCGGTGGCGCTCCTATATTCTCTGCGGCACTTTAATTCAAGCACACGCAATACATGTACATGAGTACAAGCCACTCGCGCACACGCACACACAGTCATACCCCTCGTTTTTAATCATGAAAAAAAAACTACAACTATTCGAGTAGAGCGGTGTGTTTCCAGGGGTATGGCAGGTCTACAGACATTTGGAGAGGACATTGTTCTCGTGAGGGGCTAATTTTTTTTCTTATTCACATCCTGGTGAACTACTGGGGGATGGAGATGGGGTTATGGGGCTGATGGAGTCTACGCCCTTGGACACAAGACGCAGAACGCCCTGGAAATAGACTGGTGGGTGCTTGCGATAGGTTCGTTGGTCAAATGACCTTTCGATTCACCTCGTCTCTTGCAGCTGATTTCATCAATCGGTGACTCATTTTTTCAACATCTCTAGGGGATGGTCCTGGGGGCTGTCTTCACGGGTTCTTCTGGCTGTTGCACGTGTCTCTTGGATATTGACAGGTTGCTGGAGGTATTCTAAGGGTAATTCTTCATGCGCGCCATCCCGCGAGCAAAAAATCGCGTCTATTCATCGAATGATTCTCCTCCTTCACTTTTTCCGAATCAGGGGAATCCCGTTGGTTCTTTTGAATTGAGGGTTTGAGGTTCAGTCTCGTTATCTCGTCTTGTCTTTACTCCTGGTGGTTCTTTTCACTTTTGGGGCACATCACTGGGAAACACTGAAATTAAACGCTTCGCTTTTACCACTGGAAACACAAACATTTGTCGGTTGGTTAGGGGTTAAGATTTGTGTTGGTAGTTGGGGCTTTTTTATTGATTTCACGCACTGTTGGGGATAACGATTGGGTCAATGTATAAATAATTATTCCTGCTGTTTGTTGGTAGTCAGGACTATTTCAGACACAAAATTGTTGTGTGGCCCACCATACTCTCCTCGTCTCGAGGTTGACGAGATGCGCGAACACTGGCTCGCCCTCGAAGTGAACCCCCCCGATGAATTCTGGCTTCGTGCGTGTTCGCCAGTCGTCGACGAGTGCATGAGCGCTGGTTAGGGTGGGAGCGGGCGGGAGGTGAAACGGTGGATGAGTCCTTTCCGCGGGGGAGGATGGGGTGCTGTTAATTTGGCCGGATAAGTATCGGTAGAACCTCTTCTGGTGGGCGAAAAAAAAATTAATGAATTTCTTTTAGTTCTGCTTCAATATATCGAGCTGGGAGGGACGAAAAAACCGGAGATACTCCGTAAATTTATCTTGAATCGCGGCATACCGGAGGGATGAGGACGAATCAGAAACCATAAACGCATTTACGTCACGGGAAACCCCCGTATTGATCCGGAAAATGGCCAATCGCGGCGCTCGGGGGGACTCGGAGCCTCTAGTGCGCAGGATTTCAGCGGTTGGCGGGCGCGCTTCGAAATTCAAATGGCGGAGAAGGTGAAAGATGGACGGGGAGGGCAAATAATTGGATAAAAAATCAGCTGAATTTCGATGAATTTGTCAGTTCCGTAATGACTATTTGAGGATTAATAAAACTTCAGGTTGCTGTGCAGTTCGTGCACCTGCCAAATGTATTCCCTGGCATGTGTCCAAACGTCATCAATCAAATGGCGTATGCTCTGGTATTTACAGTGGTGAGGAAAAAATATTCGAGTTGAGGGAATGTGGAGTGGTGGTGGGAAACTCCTCAGTGGTCACTAGTCGATGATTATCATGTGCTCGAAGGGATGATTGATTGCTGGTAAGGATAATGGGGATGGGAGTAAGGGTTTTTCGCACAGCAGGCACTCGATGTGGAGTGGAACGAGAGCCCTGGCTTTTACTTTTTGATGAGTCTCGACTTCTACCTTGCTGAATATGTTTCATGCATGTATTCAAATCCCGTATCATCTATGCAAAATGGGAGGGGGCGGAGAGAGAGACGGGAGACAACGGGGCGCTGACCGCGCGTCCTATAGCAATCGCAGTCCCACCGCAATGCAGAACCAGACGGTTTTTCGGGGGGGATTTATGAAAAGGTTTCATCGAACCTGAAATTATCGAGGTTTTTTGGACGGGGAATTCAGGAATGTAAATTGGGGGCAAATTGTTTTCGGGGGGTTTAAATTGAAGAAAATGTTGTTAACAATTCACTGGAAATGGGGGAATTATCCGTATTTCTTGTACTTCTCCATCAATAGGTCAGAAACTTCACTGCTCATTTGCGAAAAATTACGGTGTAAGAGGGAAAATTCATCCTTTGCCTCATTGATGATGAGTTTGGGTGTCTGATGGCTTTTTTTCTTATGAAAATGAATATTTTTGTGTGCAAATATTGGTAAACATTCTTCTGCACTATTTAAAATCAATTGTTCATTTAGTCAGAGTTCCTAACAGGTAAGAAACGTCGTATGTTCATTGGAGAGCACTCAAAGCATTCTGGTGTTCACATTATTCACTATAAAAAAAAAATTATATTGAGCCTGAAATGACGGTTTTTTCTGCTTGGAAATTGTTCTTGGGGGCTCAAAAAGAGGAATTTAAATTGCATAAAAAATGGTTATCAATTCACTGGAAATGGAGGTAATTATCCGTATTTTTTGTACTTTTTCATCAATAGGTCAAAAATTGTACTGTTCGTTTACGAAAAATCATGTTACAAGAGGGAAAATTCAGTCTCTGTTGATATTTTTTTCCTCGACTTAAAATGACAGTTCCTGAAAAATAACGTCGCTCCCCTTATTTTTCATTGATTTTATTTTCTCGGAGGGTCAATCGTCACGGGGTAATTACTGATAGTAAAGAATTTGTGAGATAATTTTTTTTATCAAAATGATTATTTATGTACAAATGTTGATAAACATTCTTCTACACACTATTTACAATCATTGTTCATCGAGTTATAGTTCCTAACAGGTAGAAAACATCGTACGTTTACTGGAAAGCACTATCGACGTTATGACGTTTTAGACTGAGTTTTATGACGCTTCTTGATTATGTTCTTGAATATTTAAACTTACGTTAATAGCAGTCGAAGCCCATATTGGGGTGAACAGGTACGTAGAGCACGAAATTCATGATCATTTCGGTGTGCAGAGGGGGATAATGAATTTTGGGCGTCAATTATTCAGTGAAGGTTGTGAAATTGCCGGTACACTTCATTGAAATTTTTATCGAATTACAGTTCCATTGAAATTTCAAGGAATTTCGTCAGTGAAAACTCAAAATTATATGAAAAATCAATGGAAACTGTAAATTTTAGTGCATTTATTGTATGAAAATTAATAGAAATCGGAAAAATTCAGGTAAAAACATTTGTGAATTTTCAAATAATTGAAAAATTAATGTAATTTGGTACCGAATATTCGTGTTTCGATTGAAAATTCAAGTGAGTGGGGAATTCTTGTCTTCCTGCTGCTCAAAAATTTACAATTTCATTGAATTTTCATGAAATCTGAAATTTTGTTTTTTCCCCCAGATTGAATTGCCTATCACTCTCCTGAAAATTATTACTCAACTTTCCAAGAAATTGCAATTTTTTTGTAACAGTGTACTTCACTTTACGTTCAAGATCTTCAAAAGAGATTTTTCGATCCTTTTTTTTCAAATTATTGTGTTCGCTTTCTATATGAATTTGAAGCACTTCTGCTTGTCATGAGGTATTCGAGTCTTGAAGAGGATTGAGTCTGCTCGATACTGAGTATTGAGAAGGGGCATGTAGCCAAACACCTGCAAAATTAAATTCAAAATGAATGAGAATGTATCAAAAAATTAATTTAGGTATAATTCGGATTTCCAAATATTTTAAATGTGTTTTCTTACTTGAGAAAAGAAATTGATGCACTTATGACGTTCCTGGAAGTGAGTGTCATCTTCAGAGAGCGAGACTGGGCATCCAGGGCATCTGAATGTCCACCTAGAGGTCACCTGCACGTGGAAAAAAACAGGAATGTTCAATGAAAATATAAAAACGAGAAATTCACGTGAAAAGATTCCTATGCAATGTTAGGCAAAATTATTATGCAATGTTTGTTATTGTTTACTTCTACTTTAATGCGCAGAGGGAACTTCAGAAAAAATTTTAAGTGGAATAATTGAAATTTTAAGTGGAATTCTCCAAGCCATTTCCTCTAATAAATTCAGTTTGGTACAGAAAATTTAAAAAGTCTCAAAAATCATCATCTTCAAAACTATTCCCAAAGAATTCTTAGAATTTGTCAATTCTCCCCTCAAAATCCCCAAAAACCCACTCCACTCACCTTCACAGGTGGTTTCCTCGTCAAATGTGAAATAAGAAAATTCATAGCAATGTCCTCGCAGTTCATGTACTCATCGACCTTATCCCTGATGGCCTGTGGCAGCCAGTTCGTATAAAGATACGTATAATGTTTATGAATGAACGCAGCCCCAGTGAGAACCATGGACAATTCACACGAATAATTGGAATTATAGTTCCATGCATTACGATAATTCTGATCCCAAGCATGGAACCTCCCAGGGAATCCAACGACCTGATCCCTGTGCTCCCTCCAGACCCTGAACCCAAACATGATCTCATCATGCCTCAAATGAGCATCATCATCCACAGAAAGAACGGCCTCAGTCTCAATGGAGTCAAAAGGCAGAAATCTGTTATTCAGACTGTTCCTGGGTGCCTTGATCACCACAATGGGAACCCCTATTTCGGGCCACCTGAGGTCCTCCATGGGAGGTTTAGGGCTGTTCCAAACAACCAGAACTTTATTCAAATAGGGTAGCCCATAGAGTCGTGCCAGTGAATTAATCAACACCTGTTCTCTCTCGTAAGTCAGCATAACGATGGTGAACTGCTCCCTGGGATGGTTTCCCCCAAGTGCCTCACTGAACTCCTTCCCCGCGCCCCCTGCCCCCTTACCAATGGGCCTGAACCCCACCTCGGACCCAATGAACTTGGCGTCACTGGGTAAAACAGTGTCAAAAGGCAGCTGAGGATAGAGACTAAAAGGATTCATCCAGTCGTTCCAGATCTCGTGCCCATGAACGAACATCGTCGTGTAGTTTCTTTTGAAACCTGGCGAGGGATATGGAGGCTCCAGAGGCCCCAGGCTCTCTTCAGCCTCGGGCTCAGAGATAATAGTATCAGACTTCAAAGGGACAAATGTCTCATTGAAAACACTGGGACTGGAGGACTGAGCAGCAGGAAGAGGCGGAATTCCCAGTCTGTCCCTCACTGCAGCTACGATGGTGTCCATGGCCCCCTGGGCAGTGCCCATGTACCTCTCCCAGATCATCCTCCCCTGTCTCCTCATCGCCAGAAGATCGTTATCAGGAATGGCACGAAGTAAGAAGTGCATCTCGGTGACTCTGGCCTTGGGGAGGAGCACAGCAGCTCTCCTCCAGGAGATGACTTCACTGTAGCTCAAGACAATCTGATCGCCCCCCAGTACCACAGGAATAGCTCCGGACCTCAGGGCCTCGTACAGCCTAGCCTGAACGGAGGAAGTCGATACGTAACTGGCATTCGTCGGCGTCAGGATCAAGGAGAACGTTGATTCCCTCAGAATTTCTTTCCTCGATGACTCAGTACCACACAACGACCAGTCCAGAGCCTCATTCCTCTGCTCCTCAGACGCCGGAATGCACTCGAACTGCAGATGAAACTTGTCCATGGTCGTTCCACTCGTCATCTCCTTGAGATGTTGAATGATGAAACTGTCCAGGTTATTCTCGTCCTCCAGCCTCTCCAGATCGATCTCAGCGTCGTCAATCTGCCTCGGAGTTGGAGTTGATCTGGAACTCTTCATTTCCCCTTGAAAGGATAGTAAGTACTTCCTCCTTGCTGGCACCATCTGGGCGCACTCCTGCCAGATGTCGCCCCCAGGGGGGCCCAATATCGGAGGCACAACGAGGTCGAATCCATCGCGGAATTTATTTCTTCTGTATGTTGACTGGACGATGATTGCTCGGCCTGTGTCGACATTTGTGAAGGTATTTCCAGAGGCCAGGGTTAAATCCCTTCGAGACAAGTTCAGGAGCACGTGGTTTCGACCGTCTCCACCCCAGTAGGGCAGCGAGTGGAGTTTCGTGAGGTCCAGGGGGTTCTTGAAGCCGAGGGATCGAGTCGATGGGACTGGGAGAACCTCGCCGATTAGAATGATGTAGATGCAGGCCTCTGCTGGGTTCGACGTCAGGTGGGGATTGTAGCCCAGGGTTTGTTTGATTGTGGTCCGAAGAAAACCGTCCACGTCCCACCCTGGATTTATTATTGAGAAGGTGTCTGGGTCGTAGAGGTAGACGGGGAAGCCACTTGTCAGGGCGCAGCGACTGTGGTCGAAGCAGTTGTACATCTTGCAGGAGTGGGGATCTGTGCTGGGGAGTGTGGGTGGCGGGGAGTTCGTCAGGATTCGTTTGGGGGGTGCTAGCTCTGGGGTGTTTCGTTCGACTGCTTCACGCTGGGCTGCCTGCGCCTGGACGACACTCATCTTCAGGCGGTCAAGGTCGGTCTGCTGGTGTAGGAACTCCTGCTTGAGGTCGTCTATTCGCTGGGTGAAACCACTCACTTCCATCTGGAGGCGCTGGCGCTTTGCCTCGAGGTCGCGTAGTTCGTTGCTCACTGATACTTTTATTCGCAGCATCTCCTCGATTCGGGACTTCAGGTCTGATGCCTTCATCGAGGTGAAGTCCTCGAAGGCTTCCAGCTTCGAACGCGTACGGTGGATGTCCATCAGGGGAGACTCCGCTTCTACCTGCGGAGGGAATTGGGGGTTGATGAGACGTTGAATAGACTGTTCGCAATTTTTCGGAAGGGATTCGTCGTGATTTAATTCAGGGGATTTTTTGGCAGGTAGAAATTCAATGGAGGAGCTTTACTTCAAGATGTCACGGATATTTTTTCATTCATTCTGAACTCATTCTGAATATTGAGGATTAGATTCAATTGGATTCTCAATAGACTGGAAATTCAGAGTAATAGTTGAGTGAATTTTCATAATTTTCAATTATTTTCATTCATATATACACTTAAAATTAGAATATCATTGAGTATTCAATAAATTAACTAATTCATCAATTTTTTTGCCACAAACTCCAAGAGTTGTTTCCTAACAGAGTGGTAATTTAAAAAAATGTAAAAAGCAATGCATCTGAGGAAATGTTAAGGAAGTTTTTTTCAGTATATTAGTTAATTATCAAATAATGTCACTAAATACTGAAGAAAAAATTTCTGAATGGATTCTTTTAATTTTGCCGATGTTTGGGTCAAGTGCGTTTGCTTTCCACGATTTTTACATTTGTTTTAACATTTCATATCTGTTCCATTGCGAAAATTATCACGTTTGAAAGGTCATAACACGTAAGCCTTTCTTTGCTGCATGAAACTGTTCCTATTAAACCGTCCTATACCAGCACAGAAATGTATAACAACAAATGATAAAATATAAAATTTTGAAGGAGAAATTCTTGATGAATAATTATCCAAATTCATTGAATTCTCAATAAATAGTTGTGAAAATATCAGAAAATCATTTCTCTGAAGAAATTTATGGTTTAAAAAAATGTCTTTCAACATTTTTATTCAAACCCATCAATTTTAAACCTGAAAAAAACCCATAGTTTTTTGATAATTATTTTCTAGTCCTATTTTGCCACGAAATTATTGCATGCATTTCACCCAATCACCTGTTTAATTATTCTACTAATCCTGAATTTTCCAAGACAATTACCTTCGATAAATAATAATGAGTGAACAGAGGAACAATGAACAGAATCGAAGCAATCAAGATGATGATTCTGGACAGCTTCATGTGTGCAATCCAGTGACCTATCTCCCTGCCAGTTCCCAGGGGATGATAGGCAGTGCCGGACTCCAGCGAAGCCCCAGCCATTCCCCCCAATCTGTTAATCTATCCCCCTCAAAATTCACTTGTCATTCGTCATCTTGGAATTAATTAAAAACAAATGACAGTCACAGAGATTTGATTACTACCACAACAATGACCACTGCACAGCCTCAATCCACGAATCGATGAAACGAATAAAAGAGCGATTGCACTGTCTGAAATTCAGCGATTCACTCCGGGACGAGGGGTGATTGGGCCTAATTATTGTGCTCGCTCTGGCAATCATTCTGGTTTATTCAGTTCATTTTTGGTGAATTATTTGGTCATTGTTAGGAGTCGATGAGCGACTTGACAGGAGTCACTGTGGGGAGGGGAATAGTAGGTTAAATTCGGACGCGTCGGTAAGTCCGGGAGCGGTTGTGGTGTACCTACACAAGATGGCGGCGCGTGCCTTGTCCGTGTATTCGCGCGCTGAGTGATGCGTTGTGTAAAAGGGACAAAATAGACGTTATGCCAGCAAATACGGTGAAACAAAGTGTTTTGAGACATTATTTCGGATGTTAAGTGATCGTTTTTCGTGTGAAACCCATGGGAATGTGAAAATTAGTGACTGAATCGACGTTTTTGGCGTTTGTGGGACTGGCACGGTGAAGGCACACGGGCAATCCTTTGTTCTCAAGGGAATAGACGGAATGGCAACAAGTACGGCGGAATGTAGTGTTTTGATAGTTTGTTGTGAATATGGAGGGTTTATTAGTCATGAGAAATCCATGGGAATGTGAAAATTAGTGGTGAAATCGGGATTTTTGGCGTTCGTGGGGAATGAAGGGGTGGAGGTGCACTAGGACAAAAGTTTATTCACAAAGAATTGCAGGAAATACGAGTGAACGCAATGAACAAGTCAATTTTTTGTGTTGTTTAGGATCTTGAGTGATTATTCATCACGTGAAATCCATGGGAACATGAAAATAAGTGATCGAATGGACGTTTTTGGCGTTTGTGGGACTGGCACGGTGAAGGCACACGGGCAATCCTTTGTTCTCAAGGGAATAGACGGAATGGCAACAAGTACGGCGGAATGTAGTGTTTTGATAGTTTGTTGTGAATATGGAGGGTTTATTAGTCATGAGAAATCCATGGGAATGTGAAAATTAGTGGTGAAATCGGGATTTTTGGCGTTCGTGGGGAATGAAGGGGTGGAGGTGCACTAGGACAAAAGTTTATTCACAAAGAAATGCAGGAAATATGAGTGAACGCAGTGAACAAGTCAATTTTTTGTGTTGTTTAGAATCTTGAGTGATTATTCATCACGTGAAATCCATGGGAACGTGAAAATAAGTGATCGAATGGACGTTTTTGGCGTTTGTCGGAATGGCAAGGTGAAGGCACACGGGCAATCCTTTGTTCTCAAGGGAATAGACGGAATGGCAACAAGTACGGCGGAATGTAGTGTTTTGATAGTTTGTTGTGAATATGGAGGGTTTATTAGTCATGAGAAATCCATGGGAATGTGAAAATTAGTCGTGAAATCGGGATTTTTGGCGTTCGTGGGGAATGAAGGGCTGGAAGTGCACTAGGACAAAAGTTTATTCACAAAGAAATGCAGGAAATATGAGTGAACGCAATGAACAAGTCAATTTTTTGTGTTGTTTAGAATCTTGAGTGATTATTCATCACGTGAAATCCGTGGGAATGTGAAAATCAGTGGTAGACTGGGCATTTTTGGTGGTTGTGGGGACTGCTTGCAAGGTGAAGGACAAGGACAATCCTTTGTTGTAAAGGGAATAGACGGAATGGCAACAAGTACGGCGGAATGAATAGTGTTTTGATACGTTGTTGTGAATATGGAGAGTTTATAAAATCAGTGATGGAGGCGAGATTTTCGGCGTTTCTGGAGAATGAAGTGGTAGAGGTACACCAGGGCGAGCGTTTATTTCTGAAGGAACAGGCGAAATGGTGGTGAATCAGAGGTAACCAGTTGTTTTGTTACATTCTATTGGGCCTCAGGAGGTCATTGCATACGTCAAATTGATACGAATGTGGAAATAATTAGTAAAATCAGGACTTTTGGCATTTGCGGGAAATAAACAATTGGGTTTGCGTTCGAAAGAATAGAGGGTATGTCAACGAATACAACAGAACAAAGTATTTGAATACTTTATTTTGGATTTCGAATATTTATTCCTCACGTGAAATCCATGGGAGTGGGAAAATTAGGGATGAAATCGGAATTTTTGGCGGTTTTGGGGAAGGAAGGGCTACACACAACCACAAAATTTAATTTACAAATAGGGAGAACAAATGTTGAATTTTCGATACTGCATAATTTGCAGCTCATTTTGAGCTAATTTTATACGCTTCTAAAATTTGTCGGCTAATGCCATTGTTGAAAAAAGTTCATGCTAGTTTTTTTCGTAAGCTAGCAAAAAAAATATTTAAAAATGTACAGAATTCGATGTTCGACATTGGATGATTTAAAGTTGCTTTTAAAGCTAGGCAACATTCACTTGAAGAAAAAATGTGATTTTTGCGAACGTCGACTTTCCCTCTGACGAGATGGAAGATCAGACCATGGATCCAGGTGAAAATGAAAATTTTTTATTTCGATATTACTGACGCCTCCGAGGGTTTCATTAGCATTAGAGGAACCAATACAAAAAATGGATGAAAAAAAATTTTTATTTCGGGCTTTTACCCACCTCCAAGGGTTTCATTGGCATCAGAATCGCGAGTAGATGCAGAATCAACCCTCACTCGGCGGAAAAATTCGATTTTGGCGAAAGTCGACTCCTCCTGACAAAATGCAAGAGCCAATTCCATTCGATTCCTGAGGAAATTTGGGTTCCCTGTAGGCAGTTGGTCGCCTCAGAATTGCGTTTTTTCACTTCCCACACCCTCTACAAGATAAATTAAATTATTTTTTTTTGGGCATTTCGTTTTTCGCGATTATCTCGGAAACTATTAGAGATAGAGCCTTAAAACCAACGCCATTCGATTCCTGAGGAAATTTGGGTTCCCTTAGGCAGTTGGCGCCTCAGAATTGCGTTTTTTCACTTCCACACCCTCTACAAGATAAATTAAATTATTTTTTTTTGGGCATTTCGTTTTTCGCGAATATCTCGGAAACTATGGG